CGAGAGAATAATAAAATATAACAGATGGTCGGACCGTAAGACTAAACAGCGGTTTTTCAGCTCACCTGCCCGAAGGGCAAGTGAGCTTATACCATGGCGCAGCGTCCGTCGTCCGTCCGTCCGTCCGTCCGTCAACTTTTTCTTTAAAACACTACTTGTCCTGAACGGTCCAGTAGATTTTGACTAAATTTGGTCTGGAGCATCCTTGGTCCAAGAGCACTCAATTTTGTATAAACGGTGAGTGTGGCCCCACTGGGGGCAGAGGGTGGGGTATCCTGAACACTGTTGGGTATCCATCCAACTTTGATTCCTACAACAACCGATCTACGAGAAAACCAGGACTTAATTCTCTCACCCACCGTTAAGAGTCCCATTTTTAGCTCCCATTTTTAGCTAACAATGGTCCGAAGGCGAGCTTTTGCCATACCGAAGCGTCCGTCGTGCGTCGTTCGTCCGTCAACTTTTCCTTTAAAACGCTACTTGTCCTGAACGGCTGAGTAGATTTTGACTAAATTTGATCTGGAGCATCCTTGGTCCAAGAGGACTCAATTTTGTATAAACAGTGAGTGTGGCCCCACTGGGGCCAGAGGAGCAGGGCCCTATGTGGAAATAGAGGTAAACCCTTTAAAATCCTTCTTTTACCATTGGGATTAAGGGATTTTATTCTTATTAAGTCTGGAGGATCCTTGGTCCAAAGGGGACTCAAATTTGTATAAACGGAAGGTGTGGTGCCCCTGAGGGCAGAGGGGTGGGACCAAATAGGGAAAATAGAGGTAAACCTTTAAAATCCTTCTTCTGCCAGAGGGATTAAGGGATTTCATCCCAATTTGGTCTGAAGCAACCTTGCGCCAATGGCACTCAGTTGTGTATTTAAACGATGGGTCCGGGCCCCCTGGGGACAGAGGATGGGGCCAAATAGGGAAAATAGAGGTAAACATTTAAAATCCTTCTTCTACCATAGGGATTAAGGTATTTTATCCCAATTTGGTCTGGAGCATCCTTAGGTCAGGGGCACTCAATTTTGTATAAACGGTGGGTGTGGCTCCTTGGGCAAATGGGTGGGGCCTAATAGGGGAAAGAGAGATAAAACCTTTGAAATCCTTCGCCTACAATAGGGATTCAAGATTTTAACCCAATGTTGTCTCCATCAAGTTGTCTAGTAGTGCATGTTACTATTAGGATGTATTCATTAAAACAAGATGACCCCAAGGCCGCCATCTTGGATTTTGTCATTTGAAGCTTGTTCTCGCTATATCTCCAGAAATACTGGATGGATCTTTCTGCAATTTCATATGTACATACAGTACCTACCAATGTGTGTTTTACCTTTATAATTACTTCATATCAAGTACTTTTAACATATATCAGGTGAGCGATGCAGGCCCTTAGGGCCTCTTGTTGATTGTCTGGTTGGTGATGAATACCCAGGCGTACCATCCGAGGTCTCCATCTGCGTCCCCGGAACCATTTAGAGTTACGGAATAGAGAGCAAGGTCTCCATCCCCCGCGCTTAGAAAGGATGTCCAACCTTTGAGGGAGGTGAAGCTGGCGGCCTCAGATGGCAGTAGCATAACCATACCCCTAACTTTAAATGGTACAGCGGCTACTATAACGCTGATTAAGCCGGAGCTGTTTGAGGAGCAGAGGACATCGTCCACTGTTTAATTAGCCAAAAATTGAACAATACCACCAAACACTATAGGGCACTGTCCGTTGGACTTGGCTAGACCAAATGGGGGTAGGTCCACGATTCAACCCACACAACATCCCGGGGGAGTCATGATTTCTGGTTTGGTAGTGCCTCCCGGTGCCCAACTATCCATACTGAAAGTGATGAATGACACTGCCAAGTTCGTCATAATGACAGAAGGACAGAAATTTGGAATTAAAGAACATGTAGAGGTGAAAGCCCATCTCCACAGAGAAGCCCGGAGCTGTTTTACAGCAGACATGGTTCCTGGGAAAAGCCAGAGTACCTACGGGGACAACAGGGTTACCGAGACAATATAGGCCATCCCTCAACTTCCCATGGAAGCTCCTGTCTATAATGAGATGAATGAAGTTCCCAGGGAGAGCCAGAGCCAAAATCTGCCTCATTTCCATTTGACGGGGAAGAGGTTACGGAAACTTGTGTTACCTCTAACATCAAATGTTTCAAACTAAATGTGACGTCATCAGATAACGACAAGGATGAAATGGAACTGTTTGAGTGAATCACCCCCTCCCCCCGAGGCTATGGCGGGAAATTCGGCCAAGGACGGGGGACTGCCATTACAGAAGCCTGGCCACTGTCGCTTAACTGTCGCGGAGCAATCAGATAGCGTTGTAACCCACTCGGGTGGGGTACTCACCGACACAGCTAAGCAGACTAGAGCACCCCAAAAGTTTACTAGACTGATGTTGGGGTGACTAGGCAATAGTTTCATGGTAGATAAATTACACGGCATTGCTGTGTTCTTAGGTTTAGTAATGAGAGCAAGGGCAGTAAAAATCCCTGTGTAATTTTGTGATCAATGTAAATGGGAGCACATTGTACAGTTGGGAGACAGCTTTTAATTAGAAGCTCTATGTAAGTCTGCCAACAATACAGAGGTTCAGAAAGAGACGGTTCTCCGCCTCTCAGGCAGCCTCTGGGCCTCTAGAGAGAGAATGTTTTTCTGCTCAACCGTCTCCGGAAACTGTGAGGGACCGGCCCCTGGAGCGGTTATCTGCTCAGTGGTAGGGTTGTGTTATCAACACCCTGTCACAGTCAGCATACAAGTGTAGGGCATTCTTCCACTTTTGAAACTTCAGACATATTATCCAAATACTATACATGTCTGAGTACCTGGCATGGGCACGGTAAAGTTTATATTTGTAATGGTCCTGTACCTTGGAGGAGGGCACAGTTAAGTTTAGCCCATCGACAGAATTAGATCTATAAAGTATGGGCCCGAACTTCCACTAGTGGGCACGTGAAACTGTGTTCCTGCTCGGCGCGTCTAAATACCCAATACTACCCAATACAACCCAATACCTACCCAATACTACCCCATACTGTACCCAATACTACTTTGATACGACGAAATATCCAATAAAACATAGTAATTTGTTTCCATATACTGTATTTTTTTTTCTCCTCCAAAAATCATGAATTTGGTGCCAAATACGTCAACAATCTACCGTGAATACCACCCAATACTACTCCATACTACCCAATACTACAACATACTACCCAATACTACAACATACTGTACCCAATACTACTCTGATACGGCAAAATATCAACTAAAACATAGTATTTCCATGTATTGTATTTTTATACAATACGCGCCCTTCCTGCTAGGGGTCCCCTATGCTTAAGGGTGACCCGACCTTGTCCAAATCCACCAGAGAACAATCATCTCCAGCATCTTGAACAACACCAGAGGATCTGCTTGTTCAAGAAAGACCACCTCATCCATGATTCCTTATCAGCTGCGTCCAACCTCAAGAGGAGGGCCTTCATAAAACGGAGAAGAGTGTAGTGAATTTTTGGGGGAGTTATCTCCCTTAGACCGCTAACCGAGCCGACAACATCGATGTGACATCTCGGCCCTGAAAATTCTAATAGATTTTGGGACCTGAGAGCAGTTCTCAACTACATGCTGTGACGGTGTGTGACAACACATACCAAATTCACGACACAATTCAACCATAGAGGAATTATTCGTATGCAATATTTGGCTAACATGTGTATCATACTTTAGTTGGTCTTGCGATGCCTTTAATTTCTCAAACTCATCACTATATACAAGGATGTATGGATAACACCTAAAAGTTAGTCAAATAAGTGATTTCGATATATTTGGTACCAAAGAGGGTTCACGATAAGACAGTTTCCCCAAAGCAAAGACGTATATATATTACATAATATTTACATACAGTTTTCTTCTTCTTCTTCCACATAATTGCCTCCTTCGTCTTATCGAAGATTATGCAATGTTTATGATACACAATGCGCAGGTGAACACACCAATTGAAAAGTTTAGATTGTAAAAGTTAAAAAGTAAAAACACTGATGTAGTGTCAGACGTTTAAAGCTGGCTGATTCGACCCACCAGCCTAAGCCTAGTGAGTTCGGGGTCTGTTAGAAGTTTAAGCTTTTTTAGTTCCAATTCGTTGAGAGTTTTTCTTAAAGAATTCCAAGTTTGTCGAGTTCACAGTTTTTGAGTCAAGTTCGTTCCAGTCTTTTATTGTTCGAGGGAAGAATTAATATTTTCTTGGGTCTATTTTACATGCCTGAATTTGGTAGGACCGATCGTGTTGTTTTCTGGACCTCCTCATTGGTGTTTCGATTCGGTTTTCCTTTTTGATGGCTATTTGTTGTTTGTCAATTTTAAACATCATATGGAGTCTTGAGTGACGTCTTCTTGTTTGGAGTGAAATCCAGCCTAGGCGTTGGATCATGGATGAAACGCTTGAACGGTTTCTGTGGCTGTTCATGATAAATATGGCTGCTCTCCTTTGGACCGATTCAAGTTTGCTGATGTTTATTTGGGTGTAGGGGTCCCATACTGAGCTCGAGTACTCAACCGATGGTCTAATAAGTGCTCTGTAGGCAAGCTCTTTGATTTTTATTGAAGATATTTTCAAGTTCCTCCTCGAAAATATTTCAATAAAAAGTTGTATGTATATATACGTCTATGCCCAAAGTGATTTTGGTATCATTTCTTCTTTTATATAGATGCATGCTATTGTGAAGAAAAAAAAACAGTTGCATACATTTTTTTAATGTTCATTTTTTTACTGGCCACATAACGAATTAACACGCGTGGAGGATGACGCTATATTATATCCTATCTACAGAACAAAACTTTATGTCATCAATCACGGATCGCAGTAAAAAAAAGTCATGTTAAAGAACATTAAGCGTGTTGAATATAGATCTATTAAAAAAGGGTCCAAAATGAAACACAATCAACTCCTAAATCTCATTCCGGACATTCCGTTTCGTAATTACATTATGATAAGAAATTAGAGTTACTTCCCTTCCCGGAAATTATCATCCTTGTAAACACGTGTGAAACATCAAAAGCAAAACAGAATGGGGCGAATGAAGAAAAAGGTAATACGAAAGTCTGATTTTATGTTGTAAAAGCCAAAATGTAATGTTTATAATTCATTATGTGTCCACAATTCTATCAGCTGTCATGTTCATGACAATGCTTTGATCAAATCACAGGCATCTGCCAGTCTAAATATGTGAAAATATGAAATAGTCTTCCGTACCCTACTAGTCGTTGTAGTAATTCGCTCCTCTTGTAGGAGAACCAGCTCATGAGGCTGTATGTTGATTATATGTGCATCGAATGAGTGGAGATATGTATATACAGGAATAGCCATTATTATTACTTGTCTAGAGTCTCTTGGGGCATTAAATGGCAGAGGTCAGGCACAACGATCTAAATACCCCCTGCAGTGGGCGCGTCTAATTACCCAATACTACCCAATACCACCCAATACTACCCAATACCACCCAATACTACCCAATACTACCCCATACGATCCAGTTATGAACCAAATACTTCTTTATTACTGTGAAATATCACCTTTGTAGACGTTATTTACTTCCATCTGCCATATTTTATCGGGAAATATGCGATTTGGTGCCGAAAACAT